GTTGTGTGATAAATTTGATACGGAAGAATGAATCGTTGAGGCCAGTTAGCTCTAGTCTTCCATTAACCTGCACTAAGTATGTAAGAGGCTTTAGACCAATACATGGGTTGGGCAGATGACAAAAGTTCCGGCCAGAATTTTACACGAACCATGCATACAGGAGTCGTCAAGTTTGTGACGTATTTGACACAATTATAGCGATATGTCACGTGCTAAAATAATATTCTGCAACATGACCAATGGATGTAAACAAAACTTAAGACAGCTTTGAATGCACATCAAAATTCTCCACTCGAACCATACGCTCCAAAGAACAACATAAAGTGCACATTACCACCAAATTACACGAATATCAACATCCTAAGATAAAACTTCTAAAGCATTTTTTATTTCATCATTTATAAAACTGAATACATCTGGGTTTACTTTTTGATAGATACCCCAAGGAATATAACCGACTACCGGTTATGCATAAAAACTTGCTGGTCTAATTGAAGATTGTAAGTATTGGTCAAAAAATGGAGATTGAAATAAAGTAAAGAATCATATATATGGTAGTATTATGAGTAGAGTAACTAGCTCTTCCTCATGGGAAGAATAGGAAAGCAATGTTAACCTATCAATGATCTAAGTTGATTCGCACTCCTTTTTCAGAGTCAGCAGAATTTGACGCTAAGATATCCAAAAGAGAATTAAGTGATTCAACAAATTAAAAATTCCGCGAGGTTGCAGAAGGAGCGTACCAGATGTGTACACAGAATCTTAGAAGAAGTTAACCTCCTGAACAGATCTTACAAGAGGGCAACCACCAGAACAGGGCTCCGTGAGGGAGATAGGTTGCTGGTTCCTCGGTTCCTTGCTTCAGTGGCGAAGCTGTGGCGATGAGTCGGCGACAGTAAGGACTGAGGACTGAGGAGTAAGCGAGGAGTCAGTGAAGTTAATGCTGAAGAAGACGATAGGCTTCTTCCTTCTTGCTCGGCTGTTCCTCGCTCTTTTTACTTCTTTTTCTTTCCTTCGAAGAACAGGTAAAAATGCATTTTTTTTCTGGGTCAAGATGCACGAAAACTAGTTTTTGTGTGCATCCGGTAACATTTTCCCTAATATTTAATACTGTAAAATATTTTTTTAAGTATGATTTAAGCATGGTGAAGTATTTTTTATATATTTTGAAGGTATTTTTAGTACTCTAAAATACTCTTCTGATCCTAAATATAAAATCCCTTTTGTAGTGTAAATATACATTACAAAAAAAGTCTTATATTTAGGACCGAAATAGTATTTTTTAGTACAACTAAAATCAAGACCAAAAAAATATTTAAAAGTGTTAGACTCATTTGAAAAAAATTTTAGGTACTAGATACATTACAAAATATTTTAAAGTAAAATACATTTACTGCCCTTCTATCTTATCTCAATTATAAAAACCTCTTCTCTATTTTAAAAAAACGTTTTTTGGTGCATCTAGCATGAAAGCCAAAAAAAAAAAATACTTAAGCATGTTGGACGTATCTGAAAATTTTTTCAGGGTACTAATGTACCACAAAATACTTTAGAATAAAATACACCAACTGCCTTTCTACCTCATCTCCGTTACAGAAACCCCTCCTCTATTTTGAATATATATATATATATATATATATAAACTTTCTTAAAATTAAAACATATGTTTCACAAACCTCTCTATTATATTTAAAATTTCATGTCCATCTACTCAAACTCTAGTTCATTGTTAAGCTTGACTTTAAATGATTTTTTTGATCAAAATACCCTTTTTTTGCATAATAATTATTTAGATACTTAGATTTTCCAGAAAATATTTTTTATAAAATCAAAAAATAACTCTAATGCATATATTTTTGGGAAAATGACAAACAAAGACGTTTGAATTACTAAAATTACAAGGAAGTCACCTAAATGAGCCAAATTACCATGAGGAACCTAGTCCCATATGGCAAATATGAAATCTTGGTGAAATGTCTAAAATACCCCTCAGTCAAATGACAAGTTAACTATAGAAAATGACAAGTTCACTTTAGCGAATGACAATTTCAGTAGATCAAATCACAATTTAACTGAGGGTATGCCAAATGACAAGTTGACTATAAGAAATAACAAGTTCATTTTAACGAATGACAATTCTAGTAAGCCAAATCATAACTTGGCTAAGAGACATTTCAGACATTTTATCAAGATTTCATATTTGCAATATGGGGCCGAATCCCTCATTGTAATTTGGCTTATTCAGATGACCTCCTTGTAATTTTGGTAATTCAGGGGGTCTTTACTTGTCATTTTTCCTATATTTTTAAATTTTTTAATATGTTATAAAATTTATTAATTTTGATTTAAATCATAAAATTCTATAATTTTAATTTGTTATCATATTCATTAGAAATTATTTACTTTGATTTCTTTTAAATTGTAAACATATATTTCAAATACATAGTTTTTGTTTATCATAAAGTTTAAATAATATAAGTTTAGAAAATTTTATAAATTAAATTTATCATTCAACATTTTTAAAACACATCTTTTTACAAAATTTATAAACATATTTAGTCAAGTATATATGTACTGAAAAAATTAGTTAAATTTTTAATCAAGTCTTTTATGTTTGTCTTAATTAAATGAAATTTATATAACTGTAAAAATACAATGTAGGAATTTATTAAAATGAGAAGTAAAATAGTAAATAAAATTTATTTTAATATAAATTTTAGTTAAAAATAATGTTTTTATAATGTTTTTAGAGTATTTCTAATTGTGTTAACTGATTGGACTAAATTGTATATTGTTAAAATAAAAAAATTAAATGTAATTGATGTAAATTACAAAGGTAATCAGAGTATTTCACTCAATACTTTAGCACACTAGATGCATCTTAATTTTTTTTTTATACAAACCATAAACCCTAAAATGTTTTTCGTCTAATTTTATCTTTTAAATTTAAAATTTTCGTAATAAAATTTTAGTGGTAAAAGTTTTTACTTTAATATTTAAATATATTTCTTATTATTGTGTCTTTCAAATTTACTATTGAGTTATTTATATTTTATTGTGTGGTTCTGAATACATTATGTATAATTTATCTTAACAAAGGAAATAAAAAGAACTCTTCCGGTCCTAAATATAATACCCTTATACCAGTGTGCATAAGAGTTTTATATTTAAGACTAGAAGAGTACATAATATGGTTGGCAAAAAAAGGTATATAATATGGTTAAATTAATTGTGATAAAAAATGTAACATGATTTACATCATTTGTTTGTTGGCGAGTGGAAGTTTAATGGCAAAAAAAATCATAAAATCTAAGACTATAACTACAGTATTTGCATTTGAATGTGAATCCCAGTTATGTTAGACCTGATAAATAAAGTTAAGGTTTATTGAGATTTAAATTTAAGCTTAATAACAAAACAGGACAATCTCTGGGGGGGATGTAAGAAACTGTTGTCTTTAAAATTATATGCAGTTTTTAAAAGAAATATTGTTATCCATGCACGCATGGCAATATAAATTTTCAAGAGGTTGGTCTAATTATATATTTTTCAGGTCAAAAAAAGTATAGTTATATATTAAAGGGTTAAGGTGCATCTAACACCCTGAAATATTTTTTTTGGTACATCTAGCACTGTAAAAGTATTTTGTGATGTATTTAACACCTTGAAATATTGTTTTAGGTGTGTCTAACACCTTAAAGTATTTTTTGGTGCATCTAGTATCTCAAAGTATTTTTTTTAGATATATTCAGCACCCAAAAATATTTTTTAGTGCATCCAACACTAAGGCAAAAAAAAAAAACTTCAGGATGTTGAGCTCCCCACAAAAAATATTTCAAAGTGTTAAATGCACCACAAAATACTTTAGTACACTGGATGCACCTGAGAAAATATTTGAGGGTGTTAAATGCACCTTAACCCTATATTGACCCTTGTTGGGAGAGTACCCATATTCTGTACCCAGCGTCTTAAACAGGGTTGTCTTCGCTAAGAGAGTACATGTGCCTTTTCAATTGAAAAGAAGAAGAAAAAGAAGAAGAAGAAGAAGAAAGAATACGAAGATGGCCGAGTTGTTTTGGGTTCTACAGAACAACACCATAAACCTCATTTTCTGATGTGGGATGAGTTACGTCGTCCTTTGGAGCAAGGGGGTTTGCAATTTCGAAACATCAGCCTTTTCACTCAGGCTCTGCTTGCAAAGCAATTTCGGAGGATTATTGATGGGCATGGATCCTTATTATGTTCAATCCTAGGACAAAACTATGGTACACACGGTTCTTATTCACAATTTTTAACCGGCATACAATAGTTCAATAAATTTGAAGGACGTGTTCAAGTCGAGAGAGATTATTCTTAATCACCTTACTTGAAGAATTGGGGATGGTCAGTCTATTTCGTTGGATGATCGGCCTCGGGGGCCTTTGAAACAGTTTGGCTGCTCTTTCTCTAATTTGAAACTGGCATACCTTATACTGCGCGAACGGCAAAATTGGGATTTTAAGAAATTATACTCTCTTCATCCGAGTAATGCGGTTCAGAATTTTGATCTCCATCTTCTGTCGAAGTTCCCCACGTCAGACTCACTTTGTTGGGAGAAAAATAACCGGGCTTTGTATGCAGTTAAGGCTGGTTATCAATTCATTTGTAGCCTACTAACGAAGTCTTCCAGTTAAAATCAAAAGACAGAAGTAGTGTTACAGTTAGAGGATCTCACTGTGTCCACCTTGTGGCCTGATATCTCTGGATCGTGTTCTGAAACCTGGAAGTTGAAACTGCAACCCTGAGTCAAAATGTTTTTGTGGCTTTCGCCTCATGCATTGCCTACTTCAGATACTTTGCAGAGACGTCGTCTTTCGATTGATATGAGTTCCTGTCATTGTTCAGGTAAGGAGGACTCTTTGGAACATATTTTCTTATATTGTCCTTTCGCCAAGTGCCTGTTGGTTTGCTAGTTTTTTTTAAATTTAAGAGTTGATCATTTTCCAAACCCTTCCTTGATGTTTCGTGATAAATAAGGCAAAGGATAGTGAATACTATTATGAGTAGCATCTAAATTTAACATTAGCATATATGATCATATTAAAAATATAATTAGATTTCCTTCTAGACGACCATATTTTACACATGGAAAAGTAGAATTGTCTTGTTCCCAACCAAAAAATATAATAAAAATAACTTAACAATAAGATGGATATTACATTATCTCCTTTTATTACCCGGGCCGGCAAGAAAAGAATCCCATTTCCATGAGTGCACAGATCGAGGTATTTGAATTCCAATGACCAAGCATCACCAGGCAGAGACTCAATACCATGAATAACACAGTTTCAGCATTCTTCAGCAAATATTATGTCAAAGACAAATTGAACTGCACCGAAATGTCCAAGAGTCAGAATGGGGCAAGCGAACATAATACAAGAGAAAGGCAAGAAACTTATTAAAGCATAATACATAAAAAAGCAAAAAAAATTTCTCTAATTAGAGATCCTACTGCATGAAAATAACAAAGTTACTACTTATTAGCAATACGAGAGAGTAAGAGGGGAATGCTATAGAGCTATTTTTAACAAAGTAATTACGATAACTATGCAGAAGAACGAGAGACTACTTCCAAAGATATGCACGAAAACAAATAAAGAGACAACTCATATTGATATATTAATATTTCACACTGCCTAGATGAGTGCCAAGTGCCAATAGACAGCGGGCAAAATTTAGCATTAATTTTCAGCATCTTCCATTTTTTAAGCTTGAAGCCTTTTTTTTTTTTTTCCCGGCCCCACAGCTTGAAGCCTTTTAAACTCCTTACAAATTATATAGAGTTTTCGTCATTATTTCCCATGCTTGTTCAGTCGTTTGTCCTTGAGAGGAAGGGAGGAAACAGGACTACACCAAAGCTGTTAAAATCAAGTTAGCTCGTGAACTTGGCCAAGTTTAATAGCTTGGGTTAAAACTTCAAGAGCATGAAAGTTCTTCATAAAGATATTACTCAATCTACAACTTCCTAGCAGGCGAAAATATCTTGGAAATTCTAAAAACGTCAAGCAAGAAAGGTAAAAAAGAAAAAGTGAAATGTGTTAAAGAAAATTGACACCATAAAACAACTGTGAAGATGAGGTCTCAGGAGAGCTGATGAATAAAACGCACATTAACAGTGAAGTTCTAAATTAAGAAAACCACATCAGTGACCTAAGGATCAACCAAGAGGGGAACCATTGCCTGTATAGAAACAGAAGACAAGCTATCTATAATTACCTTAACTACTGCACAAAGTCTTGATAAAAATGTTTAATTTCACAGATGTATTGCCCATCACATGAATGAACATATAGACATATTTTTGTGATTTATCATCAAGAAGACACTTCTACCTAACAAATAATTCTTTCATACCTTCCTCACTTGGGATGTTGGGTTGATCAATCAGGAGTTGTAGTAGGGCACTAAGGTCACTGCCACTGCAACGCAACACAAAATAATAATATAGAATAAAATGAAGAACAGCATTGATATAAAGTTTCCTAAAAAGATAGAGACAAGGAGAAAAAGAAAACCCAAAATGTGGCAAAGATAGTATCCAAAGTTTACCATTAATCTCCATACCTGAGCTTTAAGGCACCAGCTGATAATGCTAAGATTATTGATGTCTTTAATTGATACCTACTCCAGAGAGAGAGAGAGAGATGAGAGGTAGAAAGGAGAAAAGAATATTATCTCCGAAGACCAAATCAATCCCTTCACATATCATACAAGTAAACAACCTTGGGGAAAAAAATTGCCAGTGAACTCCAACAAGAGAAAGCAAGATTACAATAAAACAGAAGAATCTCATTAGTCATTACTACAGTTTTACTAACAGCACAATATAAATGAAAGTAACATATATCACTTACTCAGAGTTGTGTATGTCATGAAGAAACAACAGGCCATCCAAGCAATCAGTAAGGGTAGGTTTAATGCCAACTCGCTGCTGCAGCTGTTTAATAGTTGGACGTGAAGAGCCACCTTTCACTAATTGTCGACCATCACGATGAATTTTCTCAAGAGATAAAACAATTTTATGAAATTCTTCCCTGAAAGTTCCATTTTAATTTATAAGCTCGTTTTTAAAGAGATCTCCTAAGATCATAAGCTTTCTTTTAAAAGGCAAAACAAGCAAGATTCCTGTAAAATTTTAATCAAAAGAACCTAAAGAAGTTCATGTCATGGAAAGTCGAAAATCAATAGAGTTATGTAACGTTCCAGACAAAATCTACATTACAGGACAATAAATAACACAGAAGACATCTCTCCTTAATTCTTGCAATCAGCATTCACGCAGTCTATAAAAATTAACTATATCTGGACAAGAAATGGCTATGCAAGGCTAAGTTTGACACTGATGATGCTCTTCAAGAGCTGTCAGCAAGAGTTACTTCTATAGGGCAATTTTAGAAACTACTCTGTAACTAATATCGATAGGATATATTTTAAATACTACCTCCAGGCCTAAATATAAGATCTAGTTCGTAGTGTAATTTGCACTTATATTTAGAACTGGAAGTAGTACTGCTTAAAGGCTGGCCGTGCCTAATAATAATTATTATAAGCACAGCCATGTTTTTCTTTTTTGAAAAACTAAGCTCCTTCAATAATGGAAGAATTAAAATTATCCAAATAAACACGGAAATAGTAATTTCGCAAGAATTTCTGGGTATTTTAAGAAACGAGAAGTGCAAGTAACTTCCAAAAAAGCCCTCAAAGAGGGGTACCAAACCCCCAAAAAGAAAAATTCAAAGAAATTTAACAAACATCTCAATATTTTCCCTCATGAAAAGTAGAAGAAACTCACAAAAAGCACGTCCCAACTCTGATAGAATGGTACAGAGATTCAGAATGTCAAAATACCTAATAATATGTTGAATAACTTTAGATCCCACGTATGAAAACTCAGGAAAATATACAAACTAAAGCATAATGAACTAATTTCTCCACATTAGCCAATCTAAATAAATTATAGGCCTGAAAAATACAGAATCTTACAGAGTACTTCTCATAGAAACCATTATGTTTTCCAGGGATCCCATCTGCTTGGACAACAGTGCATCTTGAATACCATTGATACAGTTTAAATTAGCATAGTTCTTCGAATTTTGAAGCACCTGATTACATCCAGACAAATTACTTTAATTTTCCCAGTAATTTTAGAACCAATATAATGCCAATTTGAACTTCCGAGCTTTACATAATGGACAATAAAAGAAAAGTGGGGAGGAATTAAATTTTCAAACGAAAAAAGAAGGATTAAAAGCAACCTGCTCACCTGCAACCTATCAATGATAGAAGAAGCATTCCTAAACTGTGAAACTAAAAGAGATTGGAGCTCATCCCATCGACTGATTTCTTCCCTAGCTTTTCTAAATTTCGCCTGAAATTTATTCACCATTGTTTCCATTGCCAGTGTCTAAATGATCTTTAGAAGGACCTTGTCGGGTCTCTTGTTACTTGAGAAACCAATAAAGAAGAGAAGTTTCCCTTCGCTCCGGCTATTAAAACATGAAGGGAGTTTCTGCGCTGGCTATGAAGAAACGGATAGAATCCAGATCGATTGAGCCACAGAGAAGAAGACGGTGAAGCTGAAGCAAGAGGAGTCAAGAATGGAAGATTGCACGAGCTAGCAAGCCGCAAAGTGAAGCCTGAAAGCGAAAGACAAGAATTGAAGACTGCAAAGTGCAAAAATGCAGGACGAGCAGGCCACGAAGCTCCTTAACTGAAGCTCAAGTGGGAAGAAGCAGGACAAAAAAGATGAAAAATCCCCAATTTATACCCTCAATATTACTATCTGATACAAACCGCAGCCAATTAGTTTTCCCCCAAGATATATCAACTATAGAACTGGAAGAAAAAGGTCAATGAAAAGCCCACAAACAAACCTTGAGGAGTTTTTCTCTTTGCAAAGATTAAACTCATGGTGATTGAATCAGTAACCACAACTAGAAACCAAATTTTGTAAATTTAGAAAAACAGAAGCCAGTCAGCTGAGAACGATGAAGCAGAGGCGGTTGGGAACGGAGGGTTAGGGCTTCAGCCTAATTAATTAAACAAAAGTAAATTACTTACGTTTATGCAGATTTTTATTTTTTAACAAGTTTTGACTACACGTGTCTTTCTTGTAAATAATAACACAGAAAAAACTTGTTTATTTAAAATCTACTAATTTTTCGTGACTTTTTCCTATAAAAATATTTTCTAATATGAAATTTAAAAGTTATGCGAACAAATTAATAAAAATCAATATGCATCATATTTTTATATATAAATGATCAATTTAATCTTTTAGAATAATTTCAAATTGCAAAAGATTTGAAAAATTTTGTCTGATTTTTTAAAATTCATCTTCTCTCAAGTGTATTGGTTAGACCTACCATCGTTAGAAGAATTACTTTGGGAAAAAATACGTAAATATGATAGATAAAGTGAATTTGGGTCTTATAATTAGAACTAAAATAAAAGTCAGACGATGTCTTATATTACGGATCGGAGGTAGTATTTCTCATATTTATCAATTTTTTCTATATTACCCCCATGTATACTTTCTCAACCATAATCAAGTAAAAGAGGGAAAGAGGATATTAAAGAAGATGATTATGACATTTTAGAAAAAAAACATGTCATATTTTTTTTTAATTAACTAACTTACTTAACTTTTTTAACCTGATTAAATTAGTTAAATAGATACCAAGGAGTACGAGACAAAGGAGATGATCCTTCATCCCTCAGGACGCATCCCTTTGGCTCCCAAAACTGCTAAAAAAATTTCAACTCTGTTCCCTTGATCGTTTGCCAAGGACTTGCTCCATTCTTCAACTCTTGAAACTCTTCTATCAAATCTACACAGTGCCAATCACCCACTTTGTTAAAAAAAAAAAAAAAATCTAGTTGACAAATTGAACAGTACAGTTCCTCACAATTAATTTCTAAAATAGAGCTATTCAAATGAAAACTATTTACAGTAAGAAAACCTTCCCTCAAAGCCAAACACAGCTATAAAAGAAGAACTTGCTGAAATTTTCTTTCCCAAAACCCCACTATTGTGCCAGTGCTATCTCTGCAAATAATTCCTATATCAGCAGAATTTAGTTTACTGACATAAGAATCATCTAACCATTTTTTTTTTAAGCTTCTGTAGACCTAGCACCTTCATTTTCATATTTTACATCAGAGCACTCTTGGGCCAGAATGAATCCACCAGGTCACCATTAAAAACCCAATCACACCTCCTCATCACCCATTATATTATATGTTCCAACCACACACTGCGCGCTATTATAATTCAAATCAATATTATTGATTATAATATATATATAATATAAGGCTAATTTTTATTAGTATTTCAACTTATCTTTTTTTTAAAAAAATGTTATTTTTATACCCTTCGAACAAAATTATGGTTTCACTCTCTAATTGATTAGTTGAATTATGAGTTTTACAAAAATAGAAATTTGACAAACAAAATGAATAGAAATTAAATAACTAGAAAAAACTTTGTTAAGTAATAAAAATAACCATAAAATAATTTTAAATAAAAGATACTTTATATTATTATTAAAATATGTATATATACTCTTACAAATATAAATATTTCATTTTAATTGTGATGAGTCTACAAACCTATAAAAGTTAAGGTGCAAATTTGCCCCCAAAATTTTTGTTTTAGTTCAATATTGATATCTGGTATTATATGTCTCCTGATATTGTCTGATACGTTATAGGTGCTAGAAGGTTTGTTTTGGTAAGTTGTCTAAGAATTTAGTTATAAGAGAAAGAGAAAATAGTACATGACGTGGCTAGGAAAGGTTATATAATACGTAGTACCTTTGCATTTTTGCCTTTAGTCCAATGCATTATTTACTTTTCTATCTTTACCATTATAATTAAGGTATCAAAGCCATGTCTCTGATAATGACTCCAAAAACACAATCTGCTGAGCGCTTAGGCGAGAAAGAGAAATACACTAGCAGTCACTGATGCAAGGATTCTCATCTTTTCACGCTCATTGTTGATGATGAGGAGGAGCAATTCGAAGATGTCTTGAAAACAAGGTTTCTGCAGAGGCAGTGGGCACCGGTAATGCTGTGGAAGGCAAAGAGGCAACCTTTACACTGAAAATACTTGGGGCGCATTAAGAACCAAGCTCTGATACCTTAGTGATAACAGTCGAGAGAGAAAACTAGAGAATGCATTCGACCAATGGCAAAAAAGCAGAGTTACACGGTATATAATCTTCCCTGGCCACGCCACATACTATTTTCTCTCTCTTATAACTAGCTCTTAGACAACTTATCAAAATAACCCTTCTTGAACCTCTAGCATATCAGATAATATCATCAAACATAGGGTTAATAACAGATCAAACTAGGCTAGACTTTTACCAAGTAGGTTTGAGCCTGTAATAGGGGTTTAAAGCCTAAGCCTAGACTTGAGCTTATATGTTGACTATTTTTAAGACCCAAGTTTGTGCCCATTATAAACCTGGCCAAGTCTGAAACCTTTTTAAAAGTTTATTTATTTAATAGGCTTTAAAAACTATGAGTAGCCTTTTAAACCTACATATTTAAAATTGTAGGCTTTAAAGAGGTTTTGAGCTTATTTAAAGCTTAAATGTAATTGAAATAAAATTTGGTTTTTATTATAAATTATTTTAAAGAATTATTAGATAACATCCAAGATTTTTATTACAAATTGTAGTCTTTGAACAAGAAACCCCAGACCCTATCATGGTCATTGAAGCTGCCAATAAGATGATGAGGGACTTCTGGAAAGCTAATGAATTATTGCCCACTAATATAGGAATTGCGCTCCCTAAATCTGCTACAAGGTGGAGTAAGCCACATTTCGAGAATGTGAAGTTAAACTACGATGGGGCCTACTGTCGAAAAACAGGTAAAGCAGGCATTGGTATAATCTGTAGAGACTCCTATGGGCTGTTTATGCGAGGGTGGTCAGAAGGTGTAGTGGCATCTTCAGCGCTCCATGCTGAAATCTTGGCAATGACTAAAGCTATCTCACTCTCTGAAGAATGGGGCTACTCGAATGTCATCTTAGAAGGTGATTGTAAGGTGCTTGTTGATGCTATCTCTGCTCGATCCCCATCTTCTTGCCCTTGGCTGCTGCAGGGTCTAGTCAACGATATAATAGAACAGATTGCATCACGAAGTACGCTGACTTGTTCTTTTATTTCCCGTGCGGGAAACTGTGCCGCCGACTACTTGGCTGCTTCTGCTTCAAGGGAAGGGGGACCTCATGGTCTGATCCTTGTATCTCCACCTCCTCTAGCTTCCATATTACTTCATGATGCAACTGACATGCATAATCTTGGGAACGACCAGACCTCACATGAAGCAGACAGGGAAGGCGTTGGCTGATGTTTTTTCATCCTTCATTTATTTTCCTTGCTTGTTCTTTTTGTTGCCTTTGTTGTTTTGAACCTCGTTGTGTTTCGTTCCCGTTAGTAAAGATGTGTTTTACCCTGGCCAAAAAAAAAAAGACTTTTATTACAAATTATTTGAAGATTTTTATCAACTTTAGCAATGAGCGAACTTGCAGTAGTGTAAAAAGAAACAGATGCAGACTCTTTTTTTCCAGTAAAAGTAGAGCACAGACAAACCTTTAAAAATAAAAGCAAGAGAATGAACAAGAATACAGATATTGTCATAAACTTGCTTTAACATCATCTATGAGATAAAAAAAATCCCACAAAGCCTTGGCATATTCTTTCAAAAAATAATACCATATGGGACGCCCAGTAGACGTTCAGTAACGGGGAAAATAATCTCAGCTAAAATTTTGAGGACGCTTCATATCTATGTTGCGGAGGTAATTTAAAAGAATTTAGTCTCTTTCCTATACTTCAAAGTTTCAGCAGAGAAAAGAGAACACCAGAGCAGATAAGGGACTGGAACAAAAGTTGAAATTTGAGGAGCTTTGAGCCATCTAGTTTTAAAGTTAGAAAATAAAATTGCCTCCAATAAAAAAATATTTATGTCCAACAAAAAAAAATAGTTTCCAACTCAAATGTGGGCTGGAAGTAGCCCAATCTCGCCTTATTGTTTCAACGAGCCTTTTGAACTTTCATTTTTTTGTTTTTGGGCCTGATGAACTTTCATTGCTTGAGGCTAGCACACTTTTTCTAGTAGGCTATGCATGCCAGCCCAACAAGCTGGGCCCATGCTCCCAACTACCTTTCCTTCATTCATCGTAGTGGCCCTATGTTAAAAATTCTTTTTTTATAATGTACAAAATTTGAATTAATAATGATATTGACTCCTTCAGATTCAATTTTTAGTTCAAAATTAGTAGCGTATTGGTTTGAAAAGCTCAAAATGATGATCATGGGTTCCCTCAAATGATAATCATTCTCAAAATACAAATTTCTCTTTTGTCATTGCTTGATGTATCCAAAGATTAATGAGAGAAATGAGAATGAAGAAGAGGAGGATTCATGGCCAGCAGGTTGATGGGCAAAAGAAAAACTTGCATTAATTTCTTTTTAGAAAACTTGGAATTTAAATTACCCATGACGTTACTATGTCGAATATTATTAAAATTTTAAATCATTTATAAAAACATCACCGTTCTTCCTTCTATGTCAGTTTTAGATTTATACTACCTCCGGTCCTAATTATAAGAGCCAGTTGACTAATTTGAGAAAATTAAGAAAAGAAATTAAGTTATTTATTTGTAATAAATAGCTGTTATCTTTCCTAAAATATCTTTACTAATCAAGTATGTGGGCTAAAACTATAATTATTAGAAGGACTATCTTGAAAAAAATTGAGTAAACATGAGAAACAAAATAGATTGGGGTCTTATATTTAAGACCAACATATATAAAAGTTAAACGGGGTTTTATATTAAGGACTGGAGGTAGTAGTATTTATGTTTTGTGTACTAATAATCCACGGAACTTCTGTAAAACATTAACGAATTTTGAAAATCATATATTGATAGCAAAAAGAAAAAAAAGAAAATCATATGATCCATGTATTTTTATCATAAAATAATTTTTTTAAAAATTACCAAATAAGGATCATCAAAATATAATTGAGAAAACTGTCAGTATAATCAAGCAAGTCATGTATGAAGAGGCCCATTTTGAAGGCTGTTAGACCTTAAAGCATAGAATTATGCCCCAAAAAGAATATACTTCACCAACATGGAAATCTTCAACTGCCTTGTTCACTTCCAAAACCTTAGGTCCCGTTTGATACGAAGTATTAAAAATGGAATATAGAAACCTAGATGGCAATTGAAAAAAATCAATAAAAAAGTCTTTAGCATGAGTAATTGCTTATTACATAGGATTAAACAAACCCATAGAAGTAGGATTGGGGAATACCACTTCCCCTATGGTATTCCTCAATCCCATATATATGGGTTTGTCTAATCCCATATAACGAGCAATCTCTGATAGTAGATACTATTTTCTCAATCTCAATCACAATTCTTATCCCTTATTTTTAATACTTCGTACCAAATGATATCTTAGCATTGACTAACAGGGATTAGGTTTAGTATATTTGAATTCTCATTGAGAGAAATACTCATATTTAGTGACAAAAGTATTTCAAACAAGATTATCTTCAATAAAAAGATATCTGTACGTAGGGAAAAGAAACTTACTGTTGATGCCTACAACAAAAATGGAATTGTGTGGGCATTTAGTATGAACTTCATTCTTTAAGCCCTCTTCTTCCAGAGTAGTCCTGTCTGAGCAATGAGATATCTATTTCTGTGTTCTTGTTTTAAGAGACATTTAAATCTCACATAGAATATGAGAAGAGCTTTTATCACAATATATATTGAGTACTTTAATAAGCTTAGAAATACTCCAAATTCAGTGATTCTTCGGATCTCTCTTTTAATAGTAGTTTTTTTGCTGGGTAATGACGCAACAGAAATTATTTAAAGAGGACTCTACTTTTTGCTTTAAGAAAAAAATAAGATAAGAGTTACATGTCACTTTCAACATGTTTTACACATACTAAGAAAAACTTTTAATTTCATTAACTCTATCTTAAAATTCAGCAACTTTTTAACTTTATCTCTATTTAATATGTAATATGCCTCATGAAAATAAAGTTAACATATTAATAAATGAGAGATAAAATTATAAATTTATATGAAAAAATTTCTGCTTTTACCCTATAAATAGAACCAAAAAATTCTTCTCTCTCTATCATTTAAATAGGACCAAAAGAAATACAAGTGAACCAAAACCATGTAGTAACTAAAGAATTAATTTTCTCAAAAATGATTGGGATCATAGAGCACGATCGGATTTGTTAGGAAGAGATGCTACAAGATTCATATGTAACAAATACTTGTTTTGATTTTTGGAAAAGAATCATTTTTATTATTGATGAAAATCTAATACATTTAAGTGATAAAAGTCTCTATACTCATTTCAGTCCTACATATAAACTATAAATAAGCAAATTACGTAAATTAAAAAACTGATGGAGTAGAGTTGATTAAAACCCATAAATGTGTAGAAAAACATATAATTTTCTGTCCAAATATACCTTTATCCATGGAGAGAATACACGAGTGAGAAATAATGAGTGGGAAAAGAGACGAGAGAGACATACAGTTAATTAGAGTAAAAAATATTAAATGATAAGAGTGTAACTTAATTGTAAAAAGGACCAGACTTATTTTTAAAAAAAAAACCGTAACTTATAAAAATAGTGGGAAGGAGTAATTCTTATATGACATTTTAATTTGGGAAAAGATATTCAAGTGTGCTTCTCTTAATGTATTGAAGAAAAGTGTACTTCTCTAAATTGTAACCGATTCCACTTAAATTCTATATGGCTTATTTAAAAAGGAAAAAAGAAAAGAATTTTTTTTTTCTTTGTTTTTTATGAAGGGTAAGACCTAATTTTGCCTCAAAAATTTTTCATGGGTATCTAGATTTTTTTTTGAATTAATATTGTCCCAAAAGTAGTAAAACAACAAAACTGTTCCTTCAAAAACTAATATTAATTATTAAAAAATTAACATTTATCGTTAACATTTTCAACTGCTTTAAGATAATATTGCTCTTTTCTTCAATACTCCTGGGTAACTATTAATCCAAACAAAATTTTCACCCACAGAAACCTTAACCCTTTCATTAACAACGCCCTTTTAAGGCTGAGCTCCCCACTGTCCGTAGGGCCAAATATTTTCTCTCTCCTCTCTTCAAATATTTTCAATTTGAAGGAGAAAGAAAAGTGAGAGAATCTCCTCTTTCATAGTATCGGTCGAGTAGTCAAAACTCATCTCAAGACTTTGGTATTATATTTTATAATGTTGTAGAGTTTCTATGTTGTTTAACCGAAAGACATGTGCACCACTCAAACCCTAATCTCGTGAGCATTGGATTCTTTGCCTTTTCACTATTGATTGCCATAATCTTGTATAATTCACCCCCAACAAAGTCCAAAAAACTTAGAAAACACACACACATATATATATCCAAGGGATACAACTTTTCTTATAATGCAATATATATTCGACGAATGCAATTTTTCTTTAATTGTGTGTCAACATTTGTAAATAGCCAGACATGTTGCATGTAGTAAAAGAAGAATTGTATCCGTTTAAAGATCTGACTCCTTGACTATTTCTGGATGATAAATTTTGAAATTATAGATTTTTTTGAGTAATTTTCTCTTTAAATTATTGTTTAGCTAATTATAAGGAAGGATGAGTCTAATTTTTTTAATTATTATAGTTTAAAGAATGTTCTCCACCTGAAACTATGCCACATGGGATTTTACAAATGTCAGGAAGATTGAGACGAGTTTAGAAAATTGAAAATATGATGACACACCTCCCAAAATTAGTAAAGACAGCAACACAATTGGGTGCTTTGAGTCATTCAATAAATACAATATTATTTGTTTTTAGTGTTTCAATAAATTATGTAATCAACAAAACATTAACAAAGCAGATACCTGCAATTTAAAAAAAAAATGGTTGACACCGCTCAAACCATTCCTCCCTCCATTTCTTATTATAAGAGACATTTGATGCTTATGACATGTTCCTATATATTAGAGACACTTAAAAGTTGTCTCTATTTTTTTGTGTTGATTTTCTATTTTACTCATATTTATTGTCTCCAACTTACACTCTTTCTCCTTCCCACTTCTCTTTCTTTGAATAATTTACCATTGTTCTCTCTCATGCTCTCTTTCCTTATATAATGAGGGCTTTTTTGGGGAAAAAATTACATATTTTACACATTGATTGTTCTTAACTAATTTTAACTGTTTTTTTTATCAACGTAATTCGGTTAATCGTCTCTTATAATAAGGAACGGAGGGAGTATTTTGAACACCCCCAGGGTGTTAGATGCAATGCCTCTGTGTGTGTA